AAAGAGTTGTTAAATGGAGAATCGTTATGACTGGATCATTTGAATCAGATTATATATTTGAATATATTATAAAAGAAGACGTTAATCCTGCTCTGTTGAAAAAGTGTCTTTTATTCACATAGTTTGAAGCAACAATTTAATACAATTTGAAGCTAGTAAAATGCTAATAAAAGTCATTCTGTTAAATTGTAGAATTGAATTTTCAACATCAAAAATTGCCAGAGAAAAGATCAAGGTTGCTGAGTTCCTCAAATGGAAACTGTTAATTAATGAATTGAACAACGTGATTTTATTTATACTGTAATAATAGTTATATATAACAGTTCTGTCTGGCTGTTGAATCTGATTGGCTGATACCCATGCGATAACAGCTCTTGTACAGCCTCTTCACCTGTCACTCTTGAGAATTACTTCACCCACATACAGTGACAAGCAGAGGACACTCTACAGTTTGACAAATATTGCAGCTGTTGGACAACATAATGAACTTTTGAGGCTTTTTTAGTCGAGAATGTAGTTATTTAGATTGCTATGCAGTTTATTTGTAAGGATACTACCTATTTTAAAATATGTTTAACTTCAGAGATTCAGTCAGTGCATTAGCCATGATCAGCCTGTCTGAGCAGACCAAAGAAAGTGACGGTTGACGTTCCGCCACAAGATAGCTACTGAGACCGCATAATAAGTCTTTAGAGAGAGGAAAAACTCTGTTTTCTCAACATAAGTTCTCTCTCTCCCTCTCTCTCTCTCTTTATAGTATTTGCTTTGGTTTGGTTTCGGGGTTAATTATTGTGATCTCCCAATTGCAATAGAGTAATACTGGAAAATCTCTGCAGACTGATGGCATTTCATGACGTTCAGCCTTATAATCTTAAAATGTGAGCAAAAATTACCTGTTTTGTCATCACTTTAGACATTACGCTAGAGAATCAGTCAAGTACTAGACTAGTTCTGACAGTCAACTGCAGATGTGAATGAGTGGACGGAAGAAAGTAGTTCCTTGTACAAAAGTGTTTTTGAAGCGGTGTTTTGAAACCGAAAAAGTTAGATTTTCTTTTTTAAACACAATTATGCTGTTGAACTGTTGTACAAACGCAATATCACACGAGTAGCAGTGTGTAACGAGGAGACTGACACGGAGGGATCCATTATGCAGTATTTATTAATCACAACTTCACTCAAACACACAATATGCACCGGAGTGCACACACACATCCACAGTAGTAGTATGGGTATCAGGACTGATGATGAACAGACACAGAGTGAGTTACCAGGCATGAGTAGAAGGGAGAGAGCGAGAATCAGGATCCGTTAAGCAGGCTTGGGTCAAGGGTAGGAAGCGAGGATGAGAGTCCGTATAACAGGCGTGGTTCGTGGGCAGGCAGAGAGAGAGTCAGGGTCCGTGTAACAAGCTTGGGTCGTGGGCAGGCAGAAGGCGAAGCAGAGTAAGAGACAGGCTGGAGTCGTGCACAGGAGATCAGGCTGGAGATAACGCTCAGAAATGCTGGCCGGGGCTAAACAAGACTTCGCACTGCACGAGTGTTTGAGTGCGGCTTATAAGAGGTACGTGGGTCATTAGCCAGATTCCAATCAGGTGTATGCGCAATCAGTGTAGATATATGACGTAATGCTAAAAGTCTGGAGATGGTGGCCTCTGCTGGCCAGCGAGGGCAGTTGCTGGGACCGAGTCGGTGACACAGTGCAATATGGCTGTGTATTGTCAATGGTAGGACACTAAGGCACTCGGCCTGCGACCTCAAGCCAATGCACACCTCCTGCCAGTGCCGATATACAGACATATCACATTGCTATTCATGTGATATTTCTCAAATAAATGTCACATTGTTAAACTGCAAAAATAAATATAATTTGCGAAATCAGCATAATGTTCTGCATCAAAAGTTGACAGCACTGCTCAAGGCCACATCATGCAATTTGTAACCTTAAATAATCAGGAAACACTTATAAGATGTGCTGTCAACTATTAATGATTTTTTGACATTTGTTTGTGTATTAATAAATCTAAACAAAATACAATTGCTTAATATATTTGTTTAGATTTGATAAACTGGTGCCAAATGGTATTTTGTTTGGGTTTCTGTTAAAAACTGATGTTAAAGCAGGTGTCTGTATTTTAAAATTTTTATATAAATTTTGTGATGTACTATGTGTTTTAATAATGAGTAAAATGCATGATATCAAGAATTCAAATTGAGTTCATGCAAAAAAGCATTATTGTGTCTGTAAGGGAGAGCTTTATTCATAATGATTTTAAAGAAGCAATAATGAAAGCTGATAGCCATAGCCAACATGACCCTTCTATAAATCTCCACTACATTTGTTCAGTAACATCTGAAAGAGCAGGATTGTCAGCTAACATATGGGTCTATTCATACCAGCGGCCAACAAACGTTTGAACAGAGCTGGAATTTAAACAGTTGGAGTCTTGTGCACAGACAATAAAACCTGCTTTAAAGGATCGGAGCATATGGTGTGGCCTCATTGGCTAAAGAGCAAAACACATTCATTCACAATTTTGATATGTTAAATGATGCGCTTTTGACATGCATGTATTAGTGCACTCCACTTGAAGACCTTTTCCGTTAGTGACATTGTAAGTGATATTTGTTTGCTGTGTAAGTGATAATTGTTGTTGAAATTTGTCCGTAAGCATTACTAAACATTCCAGAAAATATACAGTTGAAGTCAGATTTATTAGCCCCCCTTTGAATGATCTTTTTCTTTTTTTTTATATGTCCCAAATGGTGTTTAAAAGAGCAAGGAAATTTTCACAGTATGTCTGATAATTTTTTTTTTTCTAGAGAAAGTCTTATTTGTTTTTATTTAGGCTAGAATAAAAGCAGTTTTTAATTTTTTTAAAAACATTTTAAGTTCAAAATTATTAGCCCCTTTAAGCTATATATTTTTTGATAGTCTACAGAACAAACCATCGTTATACAATAGTAATTACCCTAACCTGCCTAGTTACCCTAGTTAAGCCTTTAAATGTCACTTTGAGCTGTATAGAAGTGTCTTGAAAAATATTCAATCAAATATTATTCACTTTTATCATGGCAAAGATAAAATAAATCAGTTATTAATAGTGAGCAATTAAAACTATTATGTTTAGAAATGTGTTTAAAAAATATACTCTCCGTTAAACCGAAATTGGTTAAACAGGGGGCTAATAATTCAGGGGGACTAATAAATCTGACTTCAACTGTATGTACTGTATTGACACAGACACACACATTCATATTTTACATTCAGGTCCCCGAACAAACCAGAGAGAAAAGAGAGAAATTTTGGCCATATACTGACACCTACTGCTGGGATTTGATCATTACACGGACGACTTTTTTTTCTTGATTTTTTATGCCATATTTTGCAGTAGGCCGCAACGAGATGGGTTAAAGCCACCAAGAAATCAACCTCGACTAACTCATACTTAAGGGTGTGATCAACCTGTCACTCAAATGTGATTTAGCAGTTGCAAACAAGTCATCCAATCATATCCTAACTAAATTAAACCCTGCCCTACATTTTTCAACATTCACTTAAATATGTCACAAAATAAAAAATAAGAAAATACTATCACAACTGTTAAATGCTAACTTTAATCCAGGCCAGTGATAGAACATTTTAAGTGTTTGCTGCCAGTGAAATTTATATGGCTATTTCTTTATACGCAAAAGATTGAGACAGATTGTCAAAAATTGAGATGTGAAATATGAAATTTTGAGATAAATTAAACACATTTGACAGTTTTTCCACAATTATAAATAAATAAACAGGTGCCATCCACCTTCTTGGACCCTGCTGTTAATTTAGTTTTTATTTAGCAACAAAGTGGAGCTTTATGTAGCCAACATTTAAAGGGATAGTTTCCCTAAACGTTAAATTTACTCACTATTTACTCACCCTCAAGTTACTCCAAACCTTTGAGTTTTTTTGTTTTTTTTCCCGTCGAACACAAATATCTACTGTAACACCCATAAGTTCCCAGCTTTCTTCTAAATATCTTCTTTTTTTGTGCAACAGAAGACAAACAGGTTTCACACTAGTAAAGGGAAAGTAAATGACGACAGAGTGTGAACTATTTGGTGAACCATCTATTTATTAACTAACTCTAACTCTAGATTCTTGTAAGATCTGTTTTATCTAAGCGGAAATATATGCTGAAAAATATTGTTTAATTAACAGTTTCTATGTTTTGTGATTAAAATGTTTTCTATTAATTTTTATAAATTGCATTATGGGATATTGGTCCCTATCCTCTGTCTATATCTGATGTTGAAAATGTAACATACAAACAGTGACATTTATAGCATTTCATTTATTAACACATTTATTTTGTCATTAATAGCAGTTTAAAGCTAAATATTGTATAATAAATAAATAATACATATAGAAAGTCACCAGATTTTGTATACAAGTTTCTATTTTCATGCTTCTTTTTAAACACTAGCACTAGCATTTTTCATTAAAAAAAAAACAAAACTTTTACTTACTAGTGCTTATTATTGTGGTACCAATACCATTTTAGAAGCTACTTTTAAATGTAATATCCAGACAAGTATACTAATCTACTAGTATTTACTAGCCTGCCTTGTCAATATCTCAAAGTTCAAGTCAATGGCGATAAATAAATAAATAAATAAATGAAATGTATTAAGCTACTAGAAACAATAGAATAATAGACTAACTAATCACAAACAAATCAATAATATAAATACACATTAATTACGTCCAATTGTCTAGCCCTAATAAAATAACTACCACTAGTAGTCTAATAAATAAAGAAATAAACTAGTAATAGTAAAGTAGTATTAGTAGCCTACGAAAAAAATTATTAAAGTAGTATTAGTAGCCTAAGAAAAAATAATGAAAAAAAGTTACATGAAGTTTGTATACTATATATCTATAGTTATGAATTGAATGTTAAAATGGCTTGCCATACAACCAGTCGTGTTTTTAGCGTTTCCAAAACAGCTGCCGCGCTCGCTTCATGCTCTGGACGCGTTCTGCGCACGCGCCGTCCGAAGCTAGATTGTAACAGGAAGAAGCTGCAGATCAAAAACCAAAGTCCTGTGTTTATCTAGTTTGGACTGAATGTATTTCAGGGCACCTGTGAAAAAACTCTAGGCTTCTTCACTGTTTTTGTAGTGGTGCTCGCCGCTGTTTTCTATTACCTGGAGAATTCAGAGACTTACGAGATACCAAGGTGAGGTGCTCATTACGTTCACGTTAACGTTACTGTACATCCAAATGCGCAGTTATGGAACTATATTTTTTGGTTTGTAGTGTTTGTGCTCGTGATTATATTGCCAATATATCAGTGTCTCTCATGACACCTACATATAGATAGACATATGTTTCTCTTTATTGCATTCAGTAACATTCAGATACAGAATATGCAACAGTGCAGATAATATGTATTAAAAAAATCAAAAATAATAAGAAATAAGAAAATAAAAATAAAATTGCGTGCATGAAATAAGCTCCCAGTGGGCGATGGCTTAACCATCTGCACAATCTGTATTTACCTTTAATTTATTCGGTCAATAAAGATAATGTCAGGTTCATTCAGGTGTACTTGAACAACACCCTACGTTATCACGTGATACATGATGCTTTTCTCAACTGTGAATGTCAGTTACAATTTTTACAGTCATATACAAGACAAAGATGTTTAGACATTTGTAACAAAGTAAATGATGACCAAATTGTATTTTTTAAGTGAACTATGTCTAGCATACCTACTTATTCTAGTATTCCTGTCCGTGCAAATTCTGCAGTGTCATGCTGATATTGCCAGATTCAAACGGTTGTGTACACTTTTTATTTTCATTACAGAATGGATCTGAATGCAATGGAAGAGAATTACCGGCAGAAGAACAAAACATGCTTCATTCTCGGTGGCTCTGGTGAAACTGGAAAAGCTTTGCTAAAAGAACTAGTGGAGAGAAACATCTTCTCCAGGATCACTCTCATTGGACGAAGGCAGTTAACCTTTGAGGACAAAGCCTATGAAAATCTGGTTATGAATCAAGTTTCAAAATATTATGTCTATGTGATCCAAATAAAAAGAAAACCTCCGCAAAAACGTTGCTTATCCCTACAAAAAAATAAAAACAAATAAATAAAAATAAAATAATTAACAAATTTGTCAATAACAAATGTTAACATTTTAACCCATACCTAATAAATACAGTAAATCCAGAGGATTGATTGCTAGATAAACATTTTTTTTTTACGTTTTCAATTTTGGAAACTTTTATTTGTGAGAAAAATCTGGGTTATTTCCAGCCTGATCTCATGAGAAAACGTAAATATTTTATGTTTGATAGTTTAGTGGCTAATTAGTACGAATTCGTGATGAAATGAAATTGTACAATTTTTAAAAGGAGGTGTGGCACTCAACTCCGCCCCTAAACCCAATCTTCAGTGGGGGATGAGCAAATCGTACTAAATTGTATGAATTAGTTTGTGCAAATTTATTTGAAATAGCCACTAAAAATTACGAATTGCTGTGAGATTGCCTTGGTTTTTCCACTTAATGTTGATTTCTAAACTCTTTTCAAGTGAAAACATTGGTAATGTTTAAATGGGTTTATAAATTAATTTATAATGCAATCTTTTTTGTAATTTTTATTCCAAAAAGTCTATATACAGGGTGTCTGCTGGGTCTTAAGTCTTAAAATCTCTTAAATTTCCAAAACTACATTCTAGGCCTTAAAAAGTCTTAGATTCACAGAAATATTGGGCTGTAGGTCTTAAATAATTTTAAATGGGTCTTAATTTTGCTTTTTCCAAATAAAGTTACTCAATCGGGCCGACATCCATCCAATTACCAACAATGCATCACAATAAAACCTTTTTTGTTTGTTTATATAAATGAAAGTTTTTATTATCACAAAGAGATTCACAACAACTGTTAGACATCTCTACAGCAAAATCTCCAAACTAAATTCCCTAATGAGGGAAAGAAAAACTAAAAACAATTACCTGATTCCTCATAATAATACCAGGCCATTAGAAAAAAATATTTAGTGTTTAATGCTATAAGTCTAAAATTTCATTCTTAATGATTTTAAAAGGTCTTAAATTTAAGTTGATGAAACCTGCAGAATAGTTTATATAAAAACCTGTTTATAAAAAAAACAAGGCAATGAAATGCTGTATGCACAGTGCAAAATGTTATCAACGATTTAGTGTTGATTTATCAGTGATTCATCATTTGCCTTTATTGTTCCCAGGTTCAAAAGGTGGTTGATTTTGAGAAGCTGGATGAGTATGCAGAGGCGTTTCAGGGCCATGATGTTGGATACTGCTGCCTAGGAACAACCAGAGCCAAAGCAGGAGCTGTACGCTTCAGATATTATCTTTTTGTGGACCAAAAATCCATGCAGAATTTCCCATCTGAACCTTAATAAATAATGCATGAAATGAAATGAGTTTATATATATATATTAGCCCCCCTAAATTATTAGACCGCTTGTTTATTTTTTTTCTCAATTTCTGTTTAACGGAGAGCAGATTTTTTCAACACATTTCTAAAAATAATAATTTTAATAACTCATTTCTAATAACTGATTTATTTTATCTTTACCACGATGACTGTAAATAATATTTGACTAGATATTTTTCAAGACACTTCTATGCAGCTTAAAGTGACATTTAAAGGCTTAACTAGGTTAATAAGGTGAACTAGGCAGGTTAGGGGAATTAGGCAAGTTATTTTATAACAGTGGCTTGTTCTGTAGATTATCAAGAAAAAATATAGCTTAAAGGGGCTAATAATTTTGACCTTAAATTGTTTTTTTAAAAATTAAAAACTGCTTTTATTTTAGCCGAAATAAAACAAATAAGACTTTCTCCAGAAGAAAAAATATTATCAGACATACCGTGAAAATTTCCTTGCTCTGTTAAACACCATTTGGAAAATATTTAAAAAAGAGGAAAATAAATCGAAGGGGGCTAATAATTCCAAATGGTGCTCACTGCAGAGCCATTTGGGCAGAGCTGAGCTCCAGCGAGGGGGCGCTTCAACTTCCGCTCCTCCTTTCTTGCCCTTCTTCTACGAGTGATGTCACTGGGGGTAGGGTTAGGGGTGGGGTTGGTGTATGCATTAAAACAGCTTATAGGAGGAGGAGCGAGAGCTCATGCTCCCCCTCGCTGGAGCTCAACTCTGCTCAAATGGCTCTGCAGTGAGCATCGTCTCAATAATTCTGACTTTAACTGTATATATAATAGTTTTTTTATTTTATTTTGGCTAGAATAAAAGCAGTTTTTAATTTTTTAAAAGCCATTTTAAGGTCAAAATTATTAGCCCCTTAAGCTAATTGTTTTTGATAGTCTACAGAACAAACCATCATTATACAATAACTTGTAACTACCATATCCTGCCTAGGTAACCTAATTAACCTAGTTAAGCCTTTAAATGTCACTTTAAGCTGTATAGAAGTGTCTTGAATAAAATATCTAGTAAAACATTATTTACTGTCCTCATCATCTTCTCTCTGTTAAAAAGAATATAGTTCATTTAATTAAATTAAAATCTAAATCTAAATGCACAACACAAGAAAAACAATCTGTTTTTTAAGAAATGTATGTGTTTATAGAGAAACCTTCATGCAAATCCACATTTCATAATTCTATCTTGTGGTAATTGCATGTTAAACATGTTGATAAACTGCACCACAGGAAGGATTTGTGCGTGTGGATCATGACTACGTACTCAAGTCTGCAGAGCTTGCCAAAGCAGGAGGTTGCTCACATTTCCATCTCGAATCTTCCAAAGGTGCAGATAAAACCAGCAGCTTTCTCTACCTGAAAACAAAGGTATTGCAACAGCATGTTCAACACATGTTCGGCCTGTTTGTTTAAGATTTTATATTTGGCTCAAATTGATGTTTGAATAAAACAGAAGCATTGGTGTATTTACAGGGACAGGTTGAAGCAGAAATTGAAGAGCTTGGGTTTGAGCGGTTATCCGTCTATCGACCTGCGTGAGTCCCTCTGCTTTTGGTTCTTTGATTACTGTAAACCTGAGGACATATTTGTGTCTGTTATGCATGTCTGCATGTTTAGTTTATATTAGGATTGAGTGATTTAGCTAAAAAAATGTGTTCATATTATCAAATCACAATAATTATTATGGTAAATGTCAAATCTCTGTTTCTTTCGAGTTTAAGGCAGATTTTAGCTTCTTAGTGTAAACTGCAGAGACTAGACCATTAATCATTCCTCAATTTTCTAAACATGACTAACACATTAACTAGATATAAATAGAGCATTTACATTCACAAATTTGGGGTGCATTATTTTAAATATTATAAGTATTTAAATCTTATGTCTAGTAAACGTGTCTTTAAGGGCCTACTCACACTATGCCATCCGTACCGTGCCCAGGCCCGTTTCCCGGATCGTTTGAGAAGTGTGAGTGCCCTGAATCGGGCTCAAGCACGGTTCACTTGGCCGGCCCTGGCCCGGTTGGAAGAGGTGTGCCTGAGCACGGATCACTTGGGCTTTGGCGCGGTACGCTTGTGTGTGAGTGCAAAACGCGCCAAAGCCCGAAACTGAAAGCGAGACGTGACTTTTAAGGGGCTGTTTCATATGGATTTATTAATCATTCTTACTGTTCAGTGAACGCAAACTGCCGTAGTTTATTAAAGACGCAAACCCCTCACTGCACGACAGCTGCGCGCCTTCAGCAGACCTCCTCATTCCTGCAGCACGAGAGCTTTATGATTGTTTATGAGCGCCAAGAGTGGCGGATCTGTTCGGCGATATATCTGCTGCGTGTCCCCGCATCCCTAAGGAATGTTTGGCGAAATATTTGACGGCATATCAAACGACTGAAACTATATAACTAGAGAAATCTCCACTGTGCTGCTGAGAGAGAACGCTTTTTACTGAACAGCGCAGCAGCGATGACGTAAGCGTGCCGAGGCCCATTTGTGGTGTGAGCGCGGGCCGTCGGGAGAGACAGGAGGGGGGACAAGCGTGCTTTGGCCCGGTTCGAGGCAACTGTACCTAGTGTGAGTACGGCCTAACAAAATATCTTAACATGGAAATTAATCTCTTGGATCCTGCATCAAATCAAATCCTGAAACAAATTTAGTTCTCTGACTTTAATGATTTGATGATGATATAAATTTGTTCAGTAAATATAAAAACTTAAATTGTATTCAAATAAAACATTGTCATTTATTATATTCCACATTTAGATCACAATCCATTTTTTACTCCCATTCGCCATTCCCAAGGGCCGACCAAGCAGCTTGGTAAACACAAGATGTCACGCACAGCAGTCTTTGATGCTAGACCTATGATCATGAATGTCAAACCAGTAAGAAATCCCATTCTTCAGCTGCGGCCCGTATTGTAAATCACACATTTGCTGTGTATCAATCCAATTCAAGGACAAATAATTGGAAAATGCTTGGAATGACCTCGCAATTCTGGAACGAGTCATTTACATGTTCATCTGTACTGGTTTTGTTTCTTGTGATGATTGTGCATGTTCTTTTTTAATAGTTGCATTGGTTTTGTGTAATGAAACCGCATAAATCCAGGGATGAAAACTGCAAATTAGCTTTATGCTATGTACAGTACACTTCATCAGTTCTCTGTGACAATGCCTGGTGTATAGTCTCTGTTAGATAAACAAACAAATAAAAAAAGAATGTGATGGTGCAGTAGGTAGTGTTGTCCTCTTACAGCAAGAAGGTCGCTGGTTCGAGCCTCGGCTGGGTCAGTTGGCATTTCTGTGTGGAGTTTGCATGTTCTCCCCGCATTTGTGTGGGTTTTTCTGGGTGCTCTGGTTTCCCCCACAGTCCAAAGACATGCGGTACAGGTGAAATGGGTAAGCTCTGTGTATGAGTGTGTATGGGTGTTTCCCAGTGATGGGTTGCAGCTGGAAGGGCATCCGCTGCGTAAAACATATGCTGTATAAATTGGCGGTTCCTTCCGCTGTGTCGACCCCACATTAATAAAGGGACTAAGCTGAAACAGATAAACAATCTTTGTGGCACAATCCGGTAGTGCCATTACCATTTAAAGCAGTGGTCACCAAACTTGTTCCTGGAGGGCCGGTGTCCTGCAGATTTTAGCTCCAACCCTGGAGTCAAACACACCTGAACAAGCTAATCAAGGTCTTACTAGGTATACTTGAATCATCCAGGCAGGTGTGTTGAGGCAAGTTGGAGCTAAACCCTGACACCAGCCCTCCAGGACCGAGATTGGTGACCCCTAATTTAAGGTATACGCATTGACCTTCATCAGACATGCATTATACTTTTATCGGGGGAACATTAAATTAGGATAACTATCTGTATTGATTTTTTTGCCCAGCCCTACATCATTTGATCTCTAGTTTATATGTGTTTGTTTATTTCTAGGGTGCTGTTAGTGGACAGACAGGAGAGCCGGCCTTCAGAGTGGATGGCCAGAAAGTTCTTTGGTGCTTTCTCCACTGTCTTCCCCACGGCAATGTCTATTCCTATTACATCTGTGGTCAGAGCAATGGCTGTCAACACACTAAAAGATGGAGAGCAGAAAGTGGAAATTCTCGAAAACAAAGCCATACACACTCTCGGGAAAGTTGGAGAAAAGAAATAAGACTTGTGATTGTGGCTTGTTTAAATATAAGTGCAATTCTAGCATGATGCAGTTTTTTGTTTTAAGCAAAGCAAGCCAAATGTTGTTTTACTGACATTTTGAGTTATTATCATATAAACTGTTTTTTTAAAAAGCTTTTAAAAATACTCATTTGCACTATAAATACGGGTGACGTGTGCTGTGTTTTAATATAATTCGCTTTGTATTCTTCTGCCTTTTTTGTTATTTAATTGTAAACTCGTTCATAAAAATAAACAAATCTTAATATTGAGTCATAACTTTATGCAATGTGCTATTTAAAAGTCAAAGTCAGCTTTACTGTCTATTCAACTACATGTATAGCAGATACAGAGAATCAGAGTTGTATTGATACAAAATAATTTTTTTTTAGAAAAAATAGAAAAAAAAATTATTACAATAAATATAATTACATACAGTTGAAGTCAGAATTATTAGCCCTCTTCGAATTTTTTTCTCCTTTTTAAAATATTTTCCAAATGATGTTTAACAGAGCAAGGAAATTTTCACAGTATGTCTGATAATATTTTTTCTTCTGGAGAAAGTCTTATTTGTTTTGTTTCGGCTAGAATAAAAGCAGTTTTAAATTTTTTTAAACACCATTTTAAGATCAAAAGTATTAGCCCCTTTAAGCTATGTTTTTTCTCGATAATCTTCAGAACAAACAATCGTTATACAATAACTTGCCTAATTACCCTAACCTGTCTAGTTAACCTAATTAACCTAGTTAAGCCTTTAAATGTCACTTTAAGCTGTATAGATGTGTCTTGAAAAATATCTAGTCAAATATTATTTACTGTCATCATGACAAAGATAAAATAAATCAGTTATTAGAGAAGAGTTATTAAAAATATTATGTTTAGAAATGTGTTGAAAAAAATCTTCTCTCCATTAAACAGAAATTGGGGAAAAAATAAATAAGCAGTCTAATAACTCAGGGGGGCTAATAATTCTGACTTCAACTGTATATTATCTAAAGATATAAGTAAAAATAAAAATTGTAATTGAAACAATTACCCTTGGCAAGGAAATATGACAGCTGTTTACAAAATATGAAGTTAAAGGGGACCTATTATGCAAAAATCACTTTTATAAGGGGTTTAAACATAGTTGTGTGGCAGCAGTGTGTGTATATAGCTGACCTCTATTGAAAAAATGTTTTTTTTTTTATAATCATACTTCATACAGTCTGCAGAAACATTCTCCTGTTCTACATGTCATCAGAGGGGTAAAGCAGCTGTCCATTAGTGAGGATCTCTCCCTCATTAGCATATAAAGCCCTAAGTGAGAAGCAGCTGCTGCTAGAGTTTTGAATCTGCTACTATGCTGACACAGGTGTTTATAGCTCCACCCTCTTTTTAAAAGCACAATCTCATTTGAATTTAAAGAAACGGTCACCAAAACAGCACAAAGGAAAATCAAAGCTTAAAAGGGGCAGTTTCAAAATGTATTTATTTGTGTTGTATTTTGAGCTAAAAGTTCACAAACACACTTTACGGACATTGGAAGCTTATTTTACATCTTGTAACAAGAGGCATAAAAGGTCCCCTTTAAACAAACAAAGGCTAGGAAATATTGTTCTACAATTTTTTGGTTTCTTAACCCATTCAGTTTTCATTTGTCTTAGTTCCTTTTATTCAACAGGGGTCACCACAGCCGAATGAACCGCCAACTCATTTCGCATATGTTTTACACAGCGAATGCCCTTCCAGATGCAACCCAGCACTGGGAAACACCCATACACTCTTTCACATACACTACAGCCAGTTTAGTTTATTCAATTCACCTATAGCGCATGTTTTTGGACTTTGGGAAACCGGAGCACCTGGAGGAAACCCACGCCAACACGGGGAGACCATGCAAACTCCACAAAGAAATGCCAACTGACCCAGCCAAGACTCGAATCAGCGACCTTCTTGCTGTGAGGCGACAGTGCTAACCACTGAGCCACCGTGTTGTCTATTTTAACTCTTTTAAAGTTAAGACATTGGTATTGTGTTTTGTTCATTTTGAGCCAGTTGTCAGAAAAACTGAGAATTTCTAAGTAATCGTTTTTTTTTCCATGCTATATAATAACTATATATTTCCATGCTATAATAACTATATATTTACCCAACCTGCACTAATTTGCTTTATAAACTTAGATTAAGCTTAATAAAATATTTTTAACAGAAGTAACTGAGTAAGAAGACATCTTTCTCTCATGTGTTGTTCAGTACTTTGTTGATAGTGGAGGGCGAAGTCTTGCAATGTTACGTAAGTGAAAAAAGGTAGATTATGAGATTTTACTAATACAGTATGTGAATTAAACGAAAGCATACCATCTTGTATTACCCCAAGACTTTTAGCATGAGTTGTAAAATTTACTGGAGAATTATTGATAGAAAGAGTACAAGATTGAGCTTTGGAAAGAACAGATTTAGAGCCAACCAGATGGGCTTTAGTTTTATTGCCATTTAACTTTAAAAAGTTACTGGTCATCCATATATTAATATCTCGTAGACATTTAGTAGGATCGGAGGAGGGGGACAAATAAACTTGCGTATCATCAGCATAAAAAATAAAAATTTATGCTATAAGAAGGAAATATATGACCTAAAAGTAAAATGCAAATAATAAATTAAAGAAACCCAATAAAGATCCCTGAGGAGCACCATGAGTGACTGAGACTGCATCTGAGCGACTGTTCTTTACCTGGACAAACTGTTTTCTGTCACTTAAGTAGGATGTAAACCAGCAGAGGGCAATATCAGTGATTCCAATTGAGGCCTATCGATCCTGTAATATTGAATGTTTATTGGTATCAAAAGCAGCGGTGATATTATAAATATTATAAATAGAAAATTATGTCTGCAAAAAGGTATTTTTTAAAGAAAACCACCTCTTTACCAGGCTGGCTATGGGCCTGATTTATTGTAATGTTTACAAATGTATTACAAAACAGATAAAAAGATAAAATATTACCTCAATATTCATTTCAACACTACAAGAATGACCCACTTTTATGATGCACTTTGGTTTAAACGTCACAGGAAGATCAATTCTCTCAGGTTATTAAACACATTTCCCCCCTCATCTACAAAACTATTTCAAACACAAGATATTTAATATGAAAAAATAACGAGTGCTTTTTAACTAGTAGATTGTGTTTCCAGTGTAAATCTGGGTAATATCTAGAATATAAATGATTTCCTATTTGTAGACGACAGTAAAAGAAACCCAAGTATGTGGCAGAATGGTACTGTTATGGCTGTGCTCTAAACTTAATTAGTAATGAAACAGCGACATCACCTGGCCACAAACAGAAAGTACCTCAACTAGAAATGACCCGGATGAGCTAAACTCCAGTCTCCACCTCAAGCGACTACAACATGGCAGCGTACACAGGTACACGTGAATGCTTGGAATATATTTACGGATTTACTATAACCTATGATGCCGTTTTAATTTCCCCACAGGAAGAGTCGTGATGTTGCTTTGAGAAAAAGTAACGTTTCCTCAATACGTCATTTCCACGAATTCCCGCCATAGTTATTAATAACCGTTAAATTTGTCGCCGTGTTTTTAGAAGATGCTTTGGTTAAGTGGTATTGGTGTGTTAATTAAGCATTGAGTGTCATTTGTCTATTTTTTCCTCGTTTAGATGACTGTAAGATGTGTGATGATGTGCCTGAGCTGTCGGACAGTGATGAGGAGCAGTGGCAGTCGATGGAGGAGGTGTCTGAACACACAACACTACAGTGTTTATTCTGCGACAGGTAACAGTCAATCATGCTTCCTGAAATGAATCGGAGTACAGTACTTACTGCTTATTAGGCACAGAGTTTTTGGATTGAGGTAAGGTTGGATTTATATTCACATACCTCAGTTTTGAAAAGTATTGTTTGCAAATACCAAATATCAAAGAACAACTTCTCACAGTCATATAAATAGTGCGAATGTTGTTTTGAAGTCATACTTGCATGCGATTTCACAAAATATTCATTGGAATTCATTTCACATCCACTAGGTACCACAAAATGTTACTGAACAAATGGGCAACTTCAAAAGTTTCACAATAAAACCAACTTTACCTCAATAGTTTTTGGATTGTGATCAACTCCATTGATGGCAAACTTTTTGGTCTTACTTGACAATAAGGTTTCATTAGTATTTACAAACATGAACTAATGTTGAACAATATTTGTACAGCATTTATTAAATATACTTTACAATTTACTAGTTCATTATTAAAATCAAAATTCATGCTTGTTAACGTTAGTTAATGCACTGTTAGTTAACATGAACTAACAATGAGAAACTTTGTTTTCATTAACTAAAGATAAATACTATAATGAATGCATTGTTCAATGTTTGTTCATTTAGTTGATACAGTACCTTACTGTAAAGTGTTACCAACTTTTAAATAGATTGCTGTATGTTATCATGTGTGCAGATCAATTTATTCAGTATGAGAAACTTGTGTATATGGAAGAATTGATATAGGAAGTGGGCCTTGTTGTTTCTAAACTTTTTGAGTTAAAACTAATAATCTAAATAACTGATTTGTTTTTTTACGTTTTATTTTCCTTACCCACTGTTAGTGAAATGTTAAATGCATGAACTTGAAGAGAAAAAAAAAACCCCAATCATTTCAATTTAATGTTTTTGAATCAATGTAGTGAGGGTAAACCACAGAAAAACAAGCACAAATTCAAACACTAACTAAACCTAACCATAACTTTTGTATGCTACAATGATTTGCAAATGAATACAGGGTGTCTGCTGGGTCTTAAAAAGTCTTAAAATGTCTTAAATTTTAAAAATCAAAAGTCTTAAATTCACTGATGTATAGTGTTGTGTCCTAAATCATTTTAAACGAGTCTTAATTTTGCTTTTTCCTAGTAAAGCTACTAAATCGGGCTGACGTCCATCCAACAACCAAATAAATCTCAATAAAACATTAAGATTTTTTTTTTTTTTTTTTTGCAAAGAGATACAATTCACAACAACTGTTACACATTTTACTGCACATTCCCCATTAAGTTGCCTTATTAGGGAAGGTAAACTAAAAACAATTATTCATTTCCTCATTATTATACCGGGCTATAAGAAAAAAATCTTAAAATTTAAATCTTAATGGTCTTAAAAAGGCTTAAATTGGACTTGATGAATCCTGCAGAAACACTGGAATAAGTGTTATTGAAGTATTGTTTTTAAACTATTACATGTTTAAGTAATATTTTGCATTTTGCCTTTGTGTCATTATTAATTTTAAGATTTTTTTTTTTACGATTATTAAATGTTAGTATTATTATTTTGAATCTATGTAGCTTTGATTTGCTTTCATGCCAGTTATTTTTTAATCTTAAATTGGTAATATTGCTGCAACTTTAACTTTATTTAATTTGGCTGGCTACTGGTAGATTTTTTATTTTTGCTTAGTTTTAAGGAATACTTTTTAAGACATTTGTTTAAATATATATATATATATATATATATATATATATATATATATATATATATATATATATAATAAACAAGTGTTCATATATTTTATTTGTTTTTAATCTATTTAGCTTTCATTTGCTTTCATGCCAGATTTTTTAATCTCAAATTGGTAATATTGCTGCAACTTTATTTTTATTTCATTTATCTGGGTCCAGGTACATTTCTTATTTTTGATTAGTTTATAAGAATAATTTTTTTAATTGTTAATATTTTTTAATTGATGACAATAACCCTGATTTGATTTATTCATTCATCCGGTTATTATTTATTTATTTAATTAGCTAGCTATTCTGCCATTTGTTTAAAATTTTTCATGTTCAGTTGTGATGCAAAGCTAAGACTTTAGTTTGTACAACAGTTTTCAAATCAATTTATTTATACCCTAAACCTAATTATCTGTAATTTTAAAAACAGCAATTGTTGCTTTGTACTTGTATTGTTGTAATAATACAAGTAATTCTTGTTAACGTCCAGCTGCAGCTCTATCCCTTCTTATGTAACATCTGTGGTCCAAATCTGCCTTTTGAAAAAGTAGAAAGAATTTCCGTAATTTGTGTTTTGGAGTACAATTCAAGTAATTGACAACTAATGTTCTACATTTCATCTGATGTTTTTTTTTCTGTACTTAAATATCCATTTGTGACTTGAACAGGAATCTGACCTCTGTGTCTGAGACTTTCCAACACTGCAAGGCTGATCATGGTGTAGATATTCTAGATCTGGTCCAAAAACACAGTAAGTTTTTAAAGCAAGTACTGCTTAGTGTTTCATTAAGGGATGCCTATAAGTATAAATCAATTTTCTTTTCTTTTTAGAACTCGATGATTATGGCTATATAAAAATGATAAACTACATTAGGACAACAGTAAGTATCTATTTAAATTATACATTTAAAGTGGACGTTGGTGAGGAACAATTGCAGTGTTTTGGATGTGACATTTGCTGTAAAAAATCAAAACATAAATTCACATAAAGTAAATGTTAACATATTGAAACATCTGTTTATATTTTCCAAAACTACTAACCACAGAGTTATGGGATCAGTAAAATATAAATCTGTAAACTTTTTTTTTAGATTTTAAATGAGTAAAATAAACATTATGGATGTGACCAAAACTATGCGAGTTTACAGTACACAACATACTTTGTAGAAATTCTGTGAATTAAACTGCATAACCCAAAAGAAATAATGGCAATCAAAAGGATAAGAGTTGCTCTCTATAGAACCAAAATCATTGATTTTGATTTCATTTAATATTTTTGCATTTATGAGGAAAAAGCTTGATTTTGAATGTGACACCTCTTTGTTATGAATGTGACAGATGTGAAATTGGCACTTGTGTGACTTTGGTAAATTAAATATAATTGCTTGAAAACATTGACAGGCAGTTTTGAGTATTTTTACAGTACTGTAAAATACATGCTGAAGCCAACATCCATAGAAAGGGTGTCATTATTTTGTTTAAAACTGAATTTCTTTTCATGAGAAGCTTGGCATATGTATGGAATTGCTCTGAGATTAATTAAATCCTGACTTAGTTGTATGTTGTTTTGTAGAAATGCTCTGCTGAGAGTTTGCTACTGGCTTCAGATGGCCCACTGCCATGGGACGGTGATGAATATATGAAACCTGCATTACAAGATGACCCACTACTTCAGATCGGTATGAGAATATATTTTTGTCTCTTTTATAAGAACAAAAGTACACTTATTTTTTAATTTGTGAAAAACTATTTTCATATTTGACCCATGTGCATCCCATTAGCCAACATCCTATAAGTTAACCTCAAGGAATAAAAATAATAATAATAATCATAAAGAATCCATTTTGTGAATAAAACGTATTAAAAAGAATAACTGAAACTGTTTAGTGTCAATAAACTTCATGCAGTGTCGACATGCAGTCCGGTTCAAATTGAAAATACAGTGCTTCATAATGAAAGAATAGTAACTACATAAGCAATCGATGATTCATCTCATCAAGATAAGTGATGAGATGAATGTCATGTAACAATATAATTGGGCAAAAAGTGTAATTTTGCTGTAGGTAGTTTCATTTTGTTATATTTTTGTGTCTGCTGTTAAAAAGATCTGGGTTTGTTAGATAAAAAAAAACATTGTTTTAGACATTGAAAGCCTATTGCTTTATTTATTTATTTATTAAAAAAGAGAAAAATGTGTAATATTTTTGAGAGACAACACGGGGAAGCGATCACAAATTGAGGAGCGGGTAAGGGAGGCGGGGTGGAACGACAACGCGGGGAAACCTTCACAAACTGAGGAGCGATCACAAACCAAAAGCGGCGAGAGAGTCAAAGTAGCCAGAAGTCATTTATTTCCAATGAGAGCCGGCGGCGAGAAACAGCGCGGCGCGTCTTCTCCTGTGTGAGCGTCGAGGATAGTTGAAATCAAGTCAACTTTATGGTATGAGCTATAACGCGGTTCGGCGGCAAGCAATCAGACTGAAGTAGTCCACCGCTTGAGAGGTGTTCAGAGAACACAGACCTCTGAACTTTGGTTCCGACCACAGTTGTTCCCAAAAGTTTGATTATTGCGATTGCCGGATTTACAATTATTGAAAATCGTGACACGCGGGGCCCCGCGTCGAGGGGCCTGTCCGCTACGCCACTGGAAAGAAGGCTAAAAAGTATAGTTTACCCAAAAAATCTATTTTTACCATAGACTGTAAAATATATGGACGTAGTATCCGTGACGTCACCCATAGGTTTCTGAAGTGTGCAAAAGAAGCCACAAGTAGACGTGGCCAACCGTCGCCATTTTGTTCGCACGTCATCGCACTCACAGCGGTATACCAAACAAGGGCAAAGAGGCGGAGAGTGAGCGAAGCTAAAGACACTGCTGGCATTTTGCTTGGACCTGGCTCAGACACACTGAATACATTGAGCCACTAAGTATTGTTCTTATGATGTTTTTCTAATGGAGGAAAACGCAAATTACTTCCAAACACTTCAGATATAGTCTGTGTTAGTAAATGCAAAGCTAATTATGAAATCCAGCATAACACTGTGTGATAACGCTTCAGATGACTGTTCTACAGTCAACATCTAATCAATCTGTCAGACTCTGCAGTGCATTACAGCTCTAAAAAATGTTAGAAATGATAAATGATCTTAAATAAAACATACGTTTATAGGGATGGTATATAAGTATATAACTTTACTCACATGGGAAACGGAGGCCACGTGAATGGTTTGTGAGCACAATTAGGTGCACACAGCATTCCATATCATCTGATAATTGCAGGAAATAATCCCAAAAAGGAACTGACTGTGTAAAGCCACGTAAAACAAAACAAAAATATGATGAATATGCCGAAATCAGTGGCTATTCTGCCGGAGTCAGCTGAGGGGATGTGACGGCGACAGCGAGACCTAGCTGTCACTCAAGTGGCCACGCCCTTAATTATGCAAACTTAATATAACCTAATATAAAGGAAGCTGATGAGTTATAAAAAAATTCACCCCCCTCACAGTTGTCATGAAGGGTAATAATAGCTTTATGAACCAAAATCGTTCTTTGTACCAGGCTGTAAACACCTTTTTTTCTGCTGTAAATTTGGCCATTCTAACTGTGGGCTTAATTGAAATTTGCTCTTTTATGGAGCCAGGACTAGCGGAATTTCAATGAATTGCAGTTTCAGTTACTTCCGCATTGGCCTCCTGAGGGAGAGCGGGAGGTTGCCGCTTGATTTTTACTCATTATTTCCTCTACCTCAATTGGTTCCAAGTCCTTAGGAGATTCTTTCTTCTGTTGGATGCAAAAGAAGATATTTTGAAGGTAGCTGAAAGCCTGTAACCATTGACCTGCATAGTAGGAAAAACAAATACTATGGAAGTCGATGGTTACAGGTTTCTAACAGAGGAAAGATACTCTCAAAGGTTTGCAACTAGTGAAGGGAGAGTAAATGATGAGAAAATTTTCATTTTTTGGGGGAACTATCCTTTTAACTTCAAGCAGAGATTCTCCACAATGTCGTCTGTAGCTTTAAATAACGCAAACCCTTTACACTGCAATGAATTCTGGCTTTCAAATAATTTTAAAAAGTGATCCAAATGATATCGTTCCTCTGCATCTTTATCAAGATGGTTAAGGTCCGAACTATGCTGTTGTTTTCTTAAATTAAGAACTATTTATTGATCTTTATTTTAATCATGCTTGATTTAAATGAACCCAAACCTTTGAGTGATCGTGTTTGGCTCCACATGGTATGAGTAAAAATCAGTGTTTCTTGTTGTAAACTCAATTGTGCTGCTTTCTTGTATTTCGTCAGATGTGGAAGAGTTGAGGGAAGCCTCAGGTGGGATGGGGAGCTCTTCTGCTGCTGATCAGGTGAATGTTGAAGACAGAGTTCAGAGAGCAGAGGAAGCTCTGGCCCGCGCCATGCAGGATATGCATAAACTCAAGTCAGTACCACATCAGCCTCAAACTGTGTCCTAACAACAAGTGATGCATCTGTAACAAACTCGATATAACAGAAACATTTAAATACCAGCCACTGCACTGCCAGTGAAATGGGAAAGACTTTTATTCAAATTAATACATATTAAAGCACTTTAACGTTAGCAATAGGCTAATTTTCAAGATGTGAGGTGAACTATTTGCTGCTGCTTTCAGTAGAATAGCAATAAATTTCACGTAAAACGGTATTTAAACTCACATTGGCAGCATTTAACACTAAATAAAGCACAAAATTTGTAACTTGTTCAGCCGTGATGTTGCAGAAATAAAAAGCATTTCTATAATAGAATTTTTTTTTTTCATTGCTGTTGCAGATATTTAGGACGAAAACAAATTTTAACATGGATAAGATACCTTTTATTACCTTTCGCTGCACCGCATGTTTTTAGGACACAGTGTTACTCTTAAAGGGATTCAGTTTGTCAGTGTGTTTTAAAACCTTGACTTTTACCTTAAAAACTGTTATCGTCCCATACCTATTTGTGCGAGACTCATCATTTCAGAAATGTTTGAATAAATTCCACCACAAATACATTAAATAAACATACACAGTGTTTTTGATTAATGAGCTGTATTTCAGCTTCATCTGAGTCTGTCTCTGTCACTGTGCTGTTTATCTGAAGTAAGTCATAATGATTAGCAGACACAAACGTTGAAACGGTGGGCGGGGAAAAGCAGCTCATTTGCCTTTTAAGCCACAATAACAGCTACAGTGTATTCAGAGACTAAAATCTACACTAAAGTTTTAATCTACATCTTGTATAAATTAATCTGACTGAACAATAATATAATGTCCAAGTCTGCAAGCATTTTGAAAGTAACTAAACAAAAACAAACAAACAAACGAAGTGAAGTTATCTTCATTCATGAACAGTGTTGGGTGTAATTAGTTACAATGACTACTATAATTAAATTACTTTTTCAGTTGAAAAAGTAAGGTATTACATTTTTATTTTTAGTTCATAATACAGTTACTTTTAATGTACTTGCTTAAATACTGTACGTAAATTCAAGAGTTATATTTATATATTTAGCAAGATAATAATAGTTTTCAACATGTATCAAGTAAATTGCATATGCTTAAGAAAAAGATTATTGAGAGATTAGTTATGACAGAATAGTATGACAATTTAAGGTTTAAATTCAGAAATGCAGAATAATTGTACATTATAAATTTATGTATTTAAGTGTAAGTAATTATGTAATTTTTTATGCATTAATATTGTAAGTAATTAATGATTTTTAACAAAGCAAGGAAATTTTCACAGTATGTCTGATTTATGTTTTTTCTATAACAAATAAGTCTTATTTGTTTTATTTTAGCTGAAATAAAAGCATTTAAAAAAATTTTTATAAACATTTTAAGGTCAAAATTATTAGCCCCTTTAAGCTATATGCTTTTTCAATAATCTACAGAACAAACCATCGTTTTACAATACCTTGCCTAATTACCCTAACCTCCCTAGTTAACCTAATTAGGCATTTAAATGTCATTAAAGCTGCATAGAAGTGTCTTGAAAAAATATATAGTGTTATTCAGATATTTTTGATACTAACTAGATTACATTTAAACTTTATTACTACTACACAATGTCAAAATATGGTATTTATGAAATATGGCATCATTAATTTGAACCATTTTGTATTTATTTACAGATACAATTTAAAAACATTTAAGTGTAATTTTTGTTCTCTTTTAAAACAAAACTTAAATATCCTGGAAAGGGACTAAAACTTCAAAGAATTAAGAGATTCCAATGTCAATGTATTGAGACATATGTGTATTTTTTTTTTGTATTTAATCAAACTTTTCAGACAAAGTAATTAGAAAAGTAATTTAAATTCAATTATAATGATGCAATTAATTAGTTTTCAGTAGCAACTCACTTAACACTGGCCATCCTGACTAATTTAAAAGAATGGCTCACCATGCAACACATCCAGAAGTGTAATATGCAAGTAAATCCAGCAGGGAGCAGTATAGAGTTCAGTTTCAAAGCCTCTGTAAATGGATAGAGGTGCAAAAAAAGAGGCGGTGCAGTAGAAGTTAGAGATGGGGTAAAATTCCACTGCAGTGGTTAAGATTTTGACTGAGCGCTCACATGCTGGTGCACGTGTGCTGGCGGACTGACCAAACCTTACTCTGTCTTAATATATATAATGTGTGTTGTTTGCATTGCCCTAGATTGTTGGCACAAGGTCTAGTGCTGAACGCAGACACAAGTCATGGCCCTACATGCTCTGGGGCCATCGCCGAGTTGAGAGAAGATGAAGACGAGGCCTACTTTAGCTCTTATGGCCATTACAGCATCCATGAGGAGATGCTGAAGGTAGGTCTGTCCTCATCTAACACATATTTGAACAGAAGGTCACAGTCAGCGCACACTTTGTGCAAAGAAGAAAGAGAGATGCAGCGGTTCACCCTATGCAGCAGATTTCTTTAGTTTGTTTACGCAGAGTGCACTTTTTGAGATTTATGATGAAGATGTCATTGTTGGACTGCAGTAGGTGAGGAGGTTTGGATCATCAGCTCTCCTACTGCAGTACATCCTGGAGAGAGGGTTAGTGATTGGTGCCTCCTCCGACTTCCATTAAACGCTGGTTTGCGTCAGAGTCGAAACTCTGCAGAGGAGAAGGAGAGAGGTGTGTGGTGCAACGCAAGCGCTGACGCTGTTTACAGTCCACCGTAAAATAGAAATGCCATTTACTGTCATGAGTCAGATGGTGCCATCTTTAACTCTTTAAATAGCGCACAGTTTTACTTGGAAGAGAAGTTAAGGGAACTTTTTTCATCAGATGCTGCATTGGAAAGGGAGTCTTAAATAGGTTTAAGGTTTTAAAACTTTGGATTACTAAATCTTACAGGAATGCTAATGGAATTTGAAAAGATCAGATGTGAATGTGTGTTAAGTCCTACTGGGTGTTTTAGGAATCATTTTAATACGCTGATTGATGATTGTTGATGTTGAAATATTACAGATTTATATTGTTATCAGTAAAAAAAACAACAACATTTATTTAATGTAGCTTTTATTTTATTTTTTAAATCATGGTCTTTGATCTCCCTTTATTACTAAATAATTTTTTTGCTAGCTTATGAAGAGTACACTCTATTTGAAAATTAGAGTATAGGACTACTTTACTTTTTTTTTTACAGTTTTTAAAATATGTTTTTCTCAGTAGTTGTTATGAAAAATATATTTCGGTGCATTCAAACAAAGCATCTTTATTAAACATATACAATAACTAATAAACAGTTAATTATTCAGTAAAATAACAGAATGGAATATAAGAATCTTATATTCTTTATATTCTTATATCTTTAGGAATGTAAGGATAATAAATTTAAATTCGAATGAGCTATTGCAAACAAAAAACAAATTATTATAATAATGTTTAATATTTTACCTAACATTAATTTAGATGTAAAATTTGTGTAAAATTTTAATTTATCCTGAGTAAAATTAATTAAAGGTTTTTTAGGCTTATGAAAATTTTTATTGAATTATATTTTCACTCCAAGTTTTTGTAAAATAATATAAATATAATTTTTTTATTAGTGTGTAGGCTCAGTTTTTAACTTTTATAGTGATGAATAAGTTATTTTTGTTGCCTTTAGAGTGAAATAACTAAACATAACCGTAGGGGGCTCAGAAAAATTTAAATTTTTGAGAACATTTCAGATGACATTTATAGAGGTTTTTGCATCTGAACTCTTTTTTTGTTGTTGTTTTCTTAAATATTCAAATTTTTAAATTGGTAGCATGCATGAAAAAAGTCACCTTTCAATAAAATAAATGAGTGTTTCTTTAATTGTTTTTACATTTATTTTCATTCTATTATTTAATTTGATTTGACAACAAAGTGCAGTAGGTGGTGCAGTGGATAGCGCTGTCACCTCACAGCAAGAAGGTTGCTGGTTCGAGCCTCAGCTGGGTCAGTTGGCATTTCTATGTGGAGTTTGCATGTTCTCCCCATGTTTGCATGGGTTTTCTCCAGGTGCTCCCGTTTCCCCCACAGTCCAAATTCATGTGCTGTAGGTGAATTGGGTAAGCTTAATTGTCCACATGTGTGTGAATGTGAGAGTGTCTGGGTGTTTTCCAGTGATGAGTTGGAGCTGTAAGGGTATCCACTGCGTAAAACATATGCTAGATAAGTTGGTGGTTCATTCCGCTGTGGCAACCCCTGATTAATAATAGGATTAAGCCGAAAAGAAAATGAATGAATGAATGAATGAATGAATGAATGAATGAAGTAAGTGCGGTGGGGGTGGTGGGGTAGTTGAACCAATATAAATGTAACACTCCTCATCGAGATTGTAAATAGCTTCCGGCATCATTTATGTTTTCTGGGTGGTACTTAGTCTGATTGGCAGGTTAATTAGCCATTTCTGGCTGAATTTCTGCTGGCAAAGCAAGAAGTGTCAGGGTCAGTTTCATTTAATTTTTCATCTCCACTCCCAGCAAAATCAACCTCCTCCCTTTAAAAAAAAAAAAAAAAATCATTACCAGTCACACATCTCTTGAATTGCTTTCTAATTCAATCTTGACTCTGTTAAAAAAGGCGATTTTGATTTCATGCTGCTTAACAATTGTTAATTTGATTTCCAGCGTCCTCCTTGACTGTCAGCTTAAACTGCAGATCAGCGGTTAAAATTAAATTTTTGCTCTGAATGATTGGATGGTGTTCAGCGATTTCTCTCTTTCTCTGCGATGGCTGCGCTCTGTCTTCTTAATGGAAAGCAGAATTGTGACACCGTGTCATTACTTAGGACTTTGCTTGTCTCGTTTTCCGACAGGACAAGGTGCGCACTGAGAGCTACCGAGACTTCATGTACCGCAACATGGATGTCTTCAAGGACAAGGTGTGTATGGGGGTCTTGAAGCCCACTCACTTGGGGACATTTTAAAGTGTTCTTGAATATATCAATAAATGCAGTGACTGTGTTAATTTAAAAAAAAGGGTTTCTAAAGTATCAAGATTTATTTTCTAATGGCCACACCAACATTTTTCTTTGCTTCCACCATAGAATAATTTAATATTATTAAGTTTAAATTAATTCTGCTTGCCATTTTTTAAATTAAATGTTCATTTATTTATTACTGTTTAATTATTTTTCAATTATTTAATTTAGTTCTTTATGAAATCAGTGTATAAGTGTGAGCGAACAAGTGTGTACAGGTGTTTCCCAGTACTGGGTTGGGTCTGGAAGGGCATCCGCTGTGAACATATAGTTAGTTGGGGGTTCATTTTGCTGTGGCGACCTCTGAAATAGAGACAAAGCTGAAGAAAAATGAATAAATAAACGAACGAATGAATAAATTCAGTTGTCCATAGCAAAATTTTTAATTCCACAAAGAGCTATTGAAACTTCATGTACCACAACAAGGCGTGAATGTTTGTCTTGAAGCCTAGTGCTTTTGAATGGAGCAATAATTAGAATGACTGGGGTATTTGAATACAAAAAAAGTAAATATTTATTTATACATTTATTTATATTGCCATACCAATATTTTCCTCTGGACCATGTCATAATAATAAAATTTTATTAAATACATTTTATTTAGTTTTATTTGTAATTATTTATTTTATTTATAAGTACATTTTATTTAGTTTTTAAAAAATTAATAAAAAGTGTGTGTGTGTGTGTGTGTGTGTGTGTGTGTGTGTGTGTGTGTGTGTGTGTGTGTGTGTGTGTGTGTGTGTGTGTGTGTGTGTGTGTGTGTGTGTGTGTGTGTATACAGTATGTGTGTGTATATATGTATAATGTGTGTATATATATATATATATATATATATATATATGTATATATAAGTATATATATGTATGTGTGTGTGTATATATATATATATATATATATATATATATATATATATATATATATAGATAGATAGATAGATAGATAGATAGATAGATAGATAGATAGATAGATAGATAGATAGATAGATAGATAGATAGATAGATAGATATGTATATGTATGTATAGGTGAATAAAAGTCAAACCGGTGAGCCGTCTGACAAAAAAGTGCCCTTTTAAGTCAAATCAGCAGGATGCCCTTCTGGATCTTTCACTTAATTCAAAAAACATACTGACTACGTTTACATGGACATCTCTAGTCTATTTATTCACCTTAATAGACAATAGTATAATTAAGGTGTTTACGTGAAGTGCTTTCATGTAAGAGAAACAGAATATGAGCCCCTGGTTTAATGTGCAACCTTGCTTGAGAAAATCGTTCTCAAAGACTTACTTTTAGTCATTATTTGGGTAGCACACGTATTCTGAATGCCTTCGGCAGAATTCAAATGAGCCATTTTAATCTAAATTATTCTAGATTATTTCCAAGATTACACTGATTTTAATCTAAATAAAAAAAAATCTATGCCCACCTATAATGTGTATATAAATTATTTACATTATTTTTTTATTTTACTTAAAAAAAAAATTTTTAGTAGTAATTTAATTTAATTCTTTATTAATTCAATTGGGGTGGCACGGTGGTGCAATGGGTAGTGCTGTTGCCTCACAGCAAGACGTTCGCTGGTTCAAGCCTCAGCTGGGTCAGTTGGCATTTCTGTGTGGAGTTGGCATGTTCTCCCCATGTTGACGTGAGATTCCTCCAGGTGCTCTGGTTTCCCCCACAAATCCAAAGACATGATATAGGTGAATTCGGTAGGCTACATTGTCTGTAGTATGTGTGTGTGTGTGTGTGTGAATGAGTGTATGGGTGTTTCCCAGTCATGGGTTGCAGCTGGAAGGGAATCCGCAGCATAAAACATATGCTGATAAGTTGGCGGTTTGATTTCGATGTGGCGACCCCAGATTAATAAAGGGATTCAGCCGAAAACAAAATGAATGAATGAATGAATAAATTAATTCAGTTGTCCAGTATTGCCATAGCAGAATTTTTACTGCCTAAAGAGCAATCAAGACTTTATGTATTACTACATGGACAAGAAGTGTTGTGAGTTACTCATTTTTAAAAATTGTCGAATGTAGCATTGATTTCAATAACTGGGATAATTTAAAAAAAGCTGTGAGTTTCCAGCTGTACTTTTTTAAAAGGGTTCTTAAGTGTCAAGTGCACTGGCTTGATAAAATAGATTTGACATTTTTTATATACATATATTCATTTTCTACTGATCTTGCAGAAGTATTTCAATAGACCCATGACAAAATAATGTTTTTAAGAAACATTAGAGTTTTTTTCCTCTAACTAAGAAATATTTTATTAACTGACTTTTTAATTTCAAATCATTTTTGTATATATATATATATATATATATATATATATATATATATATATATATATATATATATATATATATATATATATATATACTTGCATATATGTATACTTGTACAGAGATCTATCTAGACTTCATAGACTTCCTCAAGGACAAGATGAGCATTTTTTAGCTTTGTCAGATGGTGCAATGATTACAATGACAGGGCTGATTTAAAAAAAACACACACACACATTATTCCCAGCTGCAGTATTTTTTTAAAGGGGCTTCTTAAGTGTCAACTGCAGTGGACTGATAACAGGATAATAGTGCCTCAACACACACACACATACCCACGACATCCACCACAGCTCATATACAAACCATTAATTCTGTGCTGACATTGGCTAGATCAGCGTTAGCCGGCCGCAGTTGAACATGGATCCATGCACTGAGCTGAAAAGAGAAAGGTTTGTGGGTCGAATACGAGCAGCTTATCTCGGGCCATCGTGGTCCAGCCAGTGGACTTTGGCAAATAAGGGTTTGACCCTGTCAGTATGATGAATGCCTCGAGTGCCATTATTACACATCTGCACGCTCAAGATGGCGCAGACAAGCTGGCATAGCGAGGAAAGGTTACTTGCTGCTCTTTAACCCGCAGGTGGTGCTTGACGTGGGCTGTGGGACAGGAATCCTCTCCATGTTTGCCGCCAAAGCTGGAGCCAAGAAGGTCATTGCTGTCGACCAGTCTGAGATCATTTACCAGGCCATGGACATTGTCAGGTGAGTTTGAAGGAATGAACAGATTTGAGGATGTTAGAGAGAGGCCCTTTGGGTTTGAGTGTAGTTGTTTTCAGTAGTTTTTCTGCATTAGGATGACTCTATGGTCATCTTTGGCATCTTCATCCTAAATATGAAGTTCTTTAGCTAGTGATTTCAGGCATCCACTATTCAGTCTTTTTTTTTCTTTTTTATTAGAATGATATTTAGATTATTTATTTTACGTGCCATTCCAAATCTTTTTTTCACCCATTGATCACTTTGTTTTATAGCAAACAATTTTTAAATAAATTTATTCAAATATACATATATATGTTTTGTTTATTTTTAAATGGTAATGCCAACATTTTTACTGACCTCAACATTTTATAAATTTTATTTTTATTTTTTATTTATTTATTTACATTTTATTATTATTTTATTTGTTTTTATTTTTAAGTATTAATACTGTAAATTATAATTTTGCTTTTTGACATTTGTTTGTTACCTTCTGGCACATTTATTATTATTATCATTATTATTATCATTATAAGTAGCAGCAATAGTAGTAGTAGTAAATTGTTGCTACATCAGATACTGTTGCGGCCGGAAGTTAACAAGAAGGATTTATATTATTCATTAAATTTCCCATTAAGGGCTTGCAGTAGTTGGCACAATTGTCTCACTGCAAGAAGGTCGCTGGTTCGAACCTCGGCTGGGCCAGTTGGCATTTCTGTGTGGAGTTTGCATGTTCTCCCTGTGTTGGCGTGGGTTTCTTCCGGGTGTTCCGTGGTATAGGTGAATTGGGTAGGCTAAATTGTCCTGTATTCACGTACAGTGTATGTATGTGAATGATTGTGTTTAGATGTTTCCCAGTGATTTGCTGCAGCTTGAAGGGCATCTGCAGCATATTTGTTTATTTTATTTATTTATTTATTTTATTTATTTACATTCCAACCATGTTCTTTCATTCATTTATTTTTCATTTTTTCATTCATTTTTACATTCAGTGTTACATTTAAACTTTACATATGGAGCATGTGCACTGTACTTTTATACTTGAATATAGTCTAAAAGTAGTAATAACGTGTATATATACTGTGTATATACAATTAAATTATCTAATTTAATTGGGCATGAAATGCGCACAATTTGGACAAGTTCTTTGTGCAGTATGTTAGCCAGAAAGATGCTGTGCATTACATTAGTGACAAATCAACACAATTCCACCACCAATGTAAAATACATGACCAAAAAACAACCTGTATCTAAAATATTCAGTGATAAAGCAGCATTGGCTTAAAAAGTTAAGTAACTCCTCTGAGAGACCTAGAAACACCATCAGACTGAACCGGCCTCAGCTGTCTGTATTGCCCGGCATTTTCATCCCCAAACTAGTCCTGTTATTTGTCTCAGTGGTTGACTTCAGTGTGTTTACGGGCCGCAGTCACGTTCCTAAAGGCCTGTCATTTACCTCAACCCGGTCGACTTCCAATCTCCCAAACGCTAAACTTACAAATGGACTCCAGGCTTCCGTTTACAGCCTCTCTGCCCATTAAAATGAGCTCATGTTTCACCTCGAGGGTCTTTCATCGTGGAGTGGGAATACAGTTTTATTTGCTGGGGTTGAGATGTGTTTGCCACATGTGGTGTTTCTGGGAGATTTTTATTTTTTTGATTATGGTTATTGTTATTATATAAGTCTGAGGAGTGAGTGCAGGCAGGAGGATGAAAGGAAAATGAAGTTTAATTTTACAGTTGGCTGGGCCGCTGTTGTGCTGAGGACTCCTCTACGTGCTGCATGAGTGTGGATGGCTTTTACTGACATCCATGATGCTTTATGCTGCTTTATAGAGGTGAGAATTAAGGCCCTCACTGTCATTTTTTTAACGAATGGTAGATGTGTATAAAAATGCAACGGCGATTTAAATAAACACTTTGGCAGAAGTGCATGTCTGTAAACGATATGTTAATTAGCAGTTTGCGTTTTCATTTTTTTGCGGTTATTTACAGTGAATGGCAGTATGTGGTTTTTATCTCTGCTCTGTAGATTTAAATTTTCAACATCAAAAGTCAACAGTTTAACAAAGTGACTTTTTATTAACATTTTAGTAGTTTTGGATAATATATAAGAAATAACATGTAGAAAAATAAGTTTACTGGTAGTTTACTACAAGGTTTTTGTAACGTAATATTGACCTTATTCTAATATGCAGAAATGCGCTCCGATTTAGTTGCCAATGGGAGAAATGACTATGAATAATAAATGGCTGAAAACGGTTAAACTACTTGCTCTACAAACAAGTTTGTCCATGACAATACTGTCAAAGCAGAATAATATAATAAGAAAATATCAGTTTGCAACATCGAGCAGCGTAACATCTAAAAAAGAATGTAAGTGAATGTGACTAGAAGTCTCAAGCCAAAGAAATTCAAATGGCTTCGTACGCGAAGAGTAAAGTCAATACAACATCAGCCCAGACAATGACATGATGGACGTCCAGCATTCTCCAGCCTCCAGTGTGAAGACTGTAGTTCTGCACAAGAAGTTTGGATAAAGGAGAAATGTCATGACTAACTGAGCCTGGTTTCTCTAAAGGTTTTTTTCCTCCACTTTCGTCATTTGGTGAAGTTTGTTCCTTGCTACTGTCGCCACTGGCTTGCTTGGTTTGAGACTTGTGGAGGTGTGCATTGATGGATTTGCTCTTCAGTGTTTGGACTCTCAGCAGTGAATTTTAAACCAAACTGAACTTAAAAACTGGACTGACACAGTTTCAGTTTACTAGGGCTTCTATGTTAAGCTGCTTTGACACAGTCTACATTGTGAAAGCGCTATAGAAATAACGATGAATTGAATTGAACAACATATCAATTTAAACTATTAAAAATTTTATAAAAGTCACATTTTCAAACTTTTCAAGGTTAAAAGTTGTTGGAAGAAAGATCAAGGTCCCATAATGCAATTTAAAAGCATAAATAATTAGGGAATAAAATAAAAACTTGAATCACAAAATACAGAAAACTGCTTTATGTATCATTTGTGGTGTGGAAGGGAGTCATCTTTGTAGATTTTTAGTTTTACATTGAATAATGAAAGGGATAGTTCACCCAAAAAGGATAATTCTTTCACTTACTCAAAAGAGGAAACAAAAGTAAGTAGTTAATAGTGAGTACATTTTACATTTTGGGTGAACAATACCTTTAAGCAAGCACTTAATAATGAAGATTTACTCTTCCTCACGTTTTTTCAAATCCATCCAACTTCAGTTTCCAACATTTTTCGGTTCATCATCACATGTTACTAGCTACACATATAAAATTACAAAAGCTTACAAATATAAGATGGCAATTTACCCAATAATGCCCTAGCGGTGAAAAGAAGCATGTGCATTTTTCTCCTTTTGCACAGGGAAAACTAACCAACCTACCAGTTTGTACAAAGTACAATGATGGATACGTAAAGATGCATTCATCACAAATCGTATTGCAGCATGATACATGCTGTCCAACTTTTTTAAAATGACAGATTTTCATGCATATAACTACATCTCCATAATATATCACTGAAGGGAAACAGCATTGGATAATTCTTTTTCTTGCTTCGAAAGGAAGATACTTCCTAACACCAACAAGAAAACCAAATTTAGTTTCTTTAAGAGATTTTCAATATGAATATTAAATCCCAATCGTTCATAAGGCCTTATGCCCAAATATTTATAACTGTTTATTCTTTAAATAAAGTCCCCCTCCAGGGTTAAGATTGGTGAAATCTTTATTTTTGTACGACTGCGATTGAAACAATACATTTAGTTTAGTTTAGTTTTTTTTTTTTTTTTGCATTTAAAGCCAACTTCAATTTCTGCAATGAAAGGTTTACATTTACATTATTTGTTAATTAAAAATGTCTCTCAGAAATTGCTATAATTCATTTTTGTCAGTGAGGAAAAACACTGCAGTTGAATAAGATTCAAATAACAATAAATAACTTATAGTTCTAAACATACTTACCAAGTTAATTGGTTACTTTAACAATTGAAAATGTATTAGTCTTCTAATGTTTTATTTAATCAGATCTTCATTGTATGCAGTGAAATACAGTGTGTCTTTATTAACACTTTGAAAGCATTTACAGAAATCCATATAATCCCACATGATCCCTACAATCTGATACACTTATTCCCCGGATTACATCGTTTAACACCAATCATGCTGGTCATTTACTAGGCAATCCAGTCATCATCATCACCTCACCACTTAAATCCAATCATTAATCCCAAAAGGTCAATATCTCTGAACCGTTAGCAAGTGTAGGATTAAGCTATCCCAAATCCCTCCTGTTTCTCCTGCATCGCTAACACTGTCCTTGGCCTAAATAAATTCTTTCATAACAAATAATGTACTAAACATTTTAGATTAATGGATCGTAATTGCCTTTGCTTATTGAATACTGAAGTTTTACAATAAAGTTATAATTCATTTATTATAATTATTTTATTGTAAGTTAATCTTTGATCTGGATTATTTTTTATTTGGTGTTATATTTATCATCAAATCCTTTCTGTCTGTGAAATAAAACCCTGTTTTTGTTTCATAAGCATCTTTGTTAATGTTTTAGGAGCCTAATAAATCCACATAATGTCCATAAACTACTACATTGCTTCCCAGATTACATTGTTTAGCAGCAAGCATGCTGTTAATTTACTTTCTAATCCAGTATATCATCATCACCTAACCTCATAAAATCAATAATTAAATCCAAAAGATCAATATCTCTTAACCATGTGAAAGTGTAGGATTAAACGGTCCCAAATCCCTCCTGTTTCTCCTGCATCACTGACATTGTTCTCTAATTATTGATTATTATCACTAACATTGTCATCTAATTTCCCTGGCAAAAAAAAAAAGTGTTAAAGGCAGTTGAACTGATGAATAAAGCCTTTTTACGTGAAATAGATTTCTCTTAAGTGAATATTTTCTATAGGATGCTTGACAATAATACATGTGTGCATTAGATTAGTCCGTAT